ACCTGCCCTATGCCAGCAGAATCGACTACTTTCTCTCCCTGGATGGGGCAAAGAGATTCTGGAGGCAGCAAATTGCCCCATCCCCTTGCAGTACGTGCACAAACTGCTGAAGGTGGTGGGGGCTGGGGCAAGAGACAGTGGCCCTCTTGCCAAGTACCACATGCCATGGCATGTCTGCAACTGCTGTTACCTGATGGTGATCCACGTATTAAAGCAGGAGGATCCCTCCTGGAGCAGGAGGGCCTCACTGCTGCATGTGCGAAGCCCGCAGCACTGGCTGGAAGTGACCTGCCAAGAACCCAGAGGACAAGGGCCTACGGCTGCTGCACAGACTGCCCCTGCAGCCCCAGTGCCGCCCAGCATTGCCCACCCCAGCCTCTTCCCTTGGAGAGGGATGCACACTGGCAATCTGGGCTTCCTGCCCTCCAGTCGTGGAGGCCCCACTCTACTCCATAGCCCAGCAGCATGTTCCCCAGGCAGGGGTCCTGCCTGCGCCAGGTGCTGCTGGAAGGGGCAGACAAAGCACATCTGCACCACAGTGTTTGGCCTGGGAGTTTCTGAGGCTGTAAATAGCCAAGTTCCCCTCCTCCTCATCTTGAAAGTGAGAAGGGGAACATCCCCCACAGAGGGGGAAAGAATTGGTCAATTGTCATCATTGGTAGAAAAGCTATTTTTAATTTTATTAAAATGTCTCTCTTCTATAAACTTTCAAAATATCTGGAACCTCTGCTATACAGATTTGTGCTGTGGCTGCGTAGCAAAGCTGTTGCTCCTGGGGCAGGTGATGGTGGCACTCACGGTGGGGTGCAACTGGTGGCACGGGACAGCTGAGGCTCCTCTTTGCAATCTGGGGAGGTGTGGGGAGTGCCAGGGGAGCAGGGCATTCCAGGGCCACCCTCAAAAAGGGGCACATGGGGGATGTAGTGGCTAAGGGGGCCAGGATGGGTCTGTGGCCGGAGCAGGAGCTGGTGCAGGGTCTCGCCCACCTGCACGAGGCTGTGGGAGAGGAGCTGGAGGTGGGAGACTGTGTCGCTGGCCAGGCTCTCCAGTAGTGCCTGCTGCTGCCGTGATGTCTGCAGGATCTGCACCAGCAGTTGCTGGACGTTCTGGAGCAAGCTTGCCACACCGGGCCCTGCAGTGAGAAAGGAGTCAGTGGCAGCAAACTCTCACCATGGCTCTGAGAGCTCCCTGTGAGGCTTTTGGGATGCTGCAGGGAGGACCCACCATGAAGGCTTGCATCTGATGCATCTTCACCTGCTGCCGGCTGCTCGCTCATGGCAGCTGTCCCTTGGGAGCCTGAGGCTGTGACAGCCACTGGCAGCATTTGGTTTCCTCTTCCCATCCCCGGGGACGTCTCACCAGGAAAACGTGCCACGATAGCTTGGCATGGAGGAAACAACCAGAGTGATGGAGGCACCCAAACCCCATGCTCAGCTTGACCCCACACAGAGACTTGGGAAGGCACTGCCTCTGGGAGCCCAGGCCCTGCATTCCCGCCAGCAGGACAGGACAGAGCTGTCCCCTGGACCAGGAGAACTTGCTCAAAACTGCAGACACCTACCAGCCTTTCCCTCTGTTCCTTCCTGCTTCAGGTCAGTGTGACAGCCTGGAATGAGAGCAGATACAGCCTGTGAGCTGGAGCCACGTCCTGCCCCAGGGCGCACAAGTAGAGTAGCCAGGACATGATGCTCACCCAGGATGGAGACAGGAGGGAAGCAGCAACTGGTGTCTGCAACGAGAACTGTATCAGACCCTGCTCGTGGGGCTGAGGGGATTTACTGGGCTTTACTGGGTTGAGCAGGGCAAGGAAAGCCTTACATGGCATGGTGGGGGGCGTGGGTGGCACTCCAGTGATGTGTTCCCCACCAGCTGCTGGGAGAAAGCAGAGAGGAGAGATACGCCATCTGACAGGACTTGCCAGGGGATCACCATCAGCCCAGGGTCTGCCTGGCTTGCCTCGGCCAGCCCCACAGCCCAACATGCCCTAGCCACAGCTCCACAGTGCCCTGCAGGGCCCCAAAGCATTTCAGAGCTAGGTACAAAAGCAGGAGTCACTCACCCACCACTGCAATGCAGCCACCCCTGGGCTGGAAGGCAGCAGCGGCGGAGCAGCGCGCAGGAACGCTACACAACAGACTAGGACTGGAAGTGAAGGAGAATCCCACATCCACTTGAAACTGCAGGGGGAATTTAGGGAGACAGAAGGCGGTTACCCAGTGTGGGATGCTGGCCGGGGCACCCACGCAAATCAGACTCAGGGATGTATCCTGCATCACCTCAGTGCCAAACTCCCTGGGGGGGTGCAAGATACGCCCCTGGGTGGGCTGCGGGGCATGGGAGCTGCAAGCACCTCTGGCCCTCACACACAGTCCTAACTCATCCAAAGACCTATGTTGTTACTAGGGAAGGGGGGAGCCAGGACCTGACAAAGGAAGGGGAGTCACATGCCCTGCAGTGCCACACAGCCACAGGAGACCTCTGGGTTGTACTGGGGCCACTGCCCCTTACAGACTTTGTGCCCCACAATCTGCCATGGGGCAGCCAGTAGCCTTGCCATGCCCCCAGGCTGGGTCAGAGCTGGAGACCCCTTCCTGCCCTGTCCCAGCCATCCCTTCATGCTCTGAGGCTGGTTCGACCTCTAGCTGAAGCCTCTGGAGGGGGAAATCCCAACGCTCCCATCACTGAGCATCCCTGATGAGGGACATGTGATGGATCGTCTGATCCCCTAAGCCCCCCATTCCCATTATGCTGGCCTGGGCTTGGGCTGGAGCTGTGGCCGTGCAGCTTGGTGCAGCAGGGCAGGTTGGTACTTACGGCTCTCTGGCTCATCCTTTGCACACCGCAGCAGTGGGGACAGCAGCGTGCCTGGGGTGTCCCTGCTAACATCGTGCTCTGCAGAAGGAAGCGAGGGGGGTGCAGAAAAGAGCTTCAATAACTGGGTGACGAGGGGTGTCTGCCACCCCACAGACAGGACAAGCCCCACTCCGGCTGTCTGAGCCCACAGGTACCTGGTGGCTCTGGCGAGGATGAAGACCGAGCGGCAAGGGCTGACCTGCGCTTCCTGGTGGGCAGTTTCACCAGTTCTAGAGGACGAGAAAGACCATCAACATACTCTGGGTGTCCGTGCAGATCAGTCCCCAAGCAACCCACACCTAGCCACCCTGCTAAGCCCACATGCCCGTCCCTGGCACCCACCTGGCATCCTCCGCTCGCCAAAGACGGGCCGCCCGGCTGCCTTCCATATACTTTTCATGGCCCGGTAGTGCGGCGGAAGCCGGGGCGAGTGGTGTCCTGCCCTCCGGCGCGTCTCCCGCTCCGAGTGGAAAGCTTGCTTGAGCGCCTTCCACTTGGAGCGGCACTGGGCCACGCTGCGCCCGTAGCCGGCCGCCGCCAGCCCCCGGGAGATCTCCCGCCACAGCGCCTCGTTGGGTCGCGACGTGGAGGCCATGAGCAGGGCGGCCTCCCCCGAGCCCCCCACCAGCGACAGGAGGCTGCTGACCTCCGCCTGCGTCCAGGCTCGCCCCCGGGGCATCCTGCTGGGGCGGCGGGGGGCGCCGGGGGAACGCTCGGCCCCGAGCCTGGATCAGCCCCGGGGCTCGGCCGTGCGCTCCCGAGGGCGCACCGGGAGGATGCCCCGCCGGGGGCGGCACTGGGAGCCGTCGGGAGCCAAACCGGGAGTCTCCCCGGGTTGCTGCACGGGGAACCGCCGGGAGTCGCCCCGGGAGCCGCAGCCGGGATCGCCGCCGGTCCCACCCGCAGCCGCACCGACCGCCCCTGCGCCGCACCGGGCGCCGCGCCGGGAGCTGCCGGGAGTCGCCGGGAGCCGCATCGAGCATGTGCAGCCCCGGGAGGAGCCGCTGGGAAACGTAGTCCGGATGAGCCATCCTTCCCCCGGCATGAGCCGGCAGCCCGGAGCGGGGGACGTTGTCTGTCCCCGGGGGCCTGGGGAGCTCGGGGGGGCACGGCAGGGATGGCCATCGCGGCAGCCCTGAAGGCTTGGGGGAGGGTAAAGAGCACCCCAGCCCCCTGCTTTCCAGGGCTGAGATGCAGTTGCAGCCCCATGCAAAAGAAAGGGCAGCAGAAACCACTTGTAAGCAAATACCCCGTGGCCTTGCTGCTTGGAGAGAGGCGCATGGCGACGCGTCCTGCACCCCAAGGCAGATCAGACTAATAGAGTTGGGGTTGTTGAGTTTTGAGAAGAGAAGGCTCCCAGAGGACCTTATAGCACCTTTCCAGTACCTAGAGGACTACAAGAGAGCCGGAGAGGGACATTTTATAAGGGTATGTAGTGATAGGACAAGGGAGAATGGTTTCAAACTGACAGAGGGCAGGTTTAGATCAGATTCTAATCATAGAATATCCCGAACTGCAAGGAATCCACTGGGATCATCAAATTCCAACTCCTGGCTCTGCACAGAATACCCCAAGAGTCACACTATGTGCCTGAGAGTATTGTCTGAACACGTCTTGAACTCTGTCATGCTTGGTGCTGTGACCACTTCCCTGTGGAGCCTGTTTTGTGTCCAACCACCCTTTGGGTGAACAGTCTGTTCCCAATATCCAACTTAGACCTCTCCTGACACAGCTTCATGCCATTCCCTCGGGTCCTGTCCTGATCATCAGAGAGAAGAGATTGATGCCTGCCCCTCTGCTGCCCCTCATGAGGAAGCTGTAGACTGATATGAGGTCTCCCCTCAGTCTCCACCAGGCTGAATAAACCAAGTGACCTCAGCTGCTCCCTGTATGGCTTTCCCTCTTTTAGAAAGAATTTCTTCACTATGAGGGTGGTGAGGCACTGGTACAGGTTGCCCAGAGAAGCTGTGAATGCCCCATGCCTGGAAATGTTCAAGGCCAGGCTGGATGGGGCTCTGAGCAACCTGGTCTACTGGAAGGTTTCTCTGCCCATGGCAGGGGAGCTTGGAACAAGATGATCTTTAAGGTTTTTTACAACCCAAATAATTCTATGACTCCATGGCACGGCTGCCCAGCTCAGCCCTGGACCTGTGTCTGAGTTAGCAGCCATCCCCATCACCTGCTACCCCAAAACCAGGGACACAGGGTTCCCTTGTGCTGGAACGCCTGGGTGCCAGCCCCAACAGGGCTCCCACTTGCCCCAAGTGTCTGTCAGCACCGTGACGCCCCTGGGTTGTGTCCCAGGTGGTGCCTCTGGGGACCCCACCAGGAAGTGACACTTTCCATTTTGCATCACACCCATCTGACAAAGTGTCTGGGAGAGGGTTGCCAGTGTCCCCGTGGGGTGCAGAGCAAGAAATCAAAGAAGGGATGGAAGAGAGGGTCACATATGCTGATCTGCGCTTTCCCCCAACACCAGGTAATGGCGCCGTGCTCCCTGTCCCTGGCACCCCAGCTCTCTCAGCGGATTCTCTGCCCTCCTGCAGACCCTTGGCCTCCCAGACCTGCTCCCCCCAATTTCTGTGTGTCCTCTCCCAAGCAGCTCCTCTCCAGCCTCCTTGCAGACTGCCTGCTCTCAGGGTGGGGGGCAGGAGAGGTTCAAGGGCGGGGGATGCCCACTGTACCCCAATGCCACAGCACACACAGGCAGTCCCTGCTCTGCTCTTCCTGTCCCATGTAAAGTGCTGTCTGCAGGGAAACAACTTCTAGGAGGGTCACACTGCTGCAAATGGGCTCTCCCCTACTTTTCCCAGGCTACTCTACTGCCTTCTGACATCCTGCCTGGGATTCACAGACCTTTCCCGGCTGGAAGTTACCCACTGCTCCCACCAAGCCCCTCAGGGTCTAGGTTAAATTAAATCCTTTTCTCAGGTCCTCAGCAGCCGATGCGCCTGCCCTGGTGCTGGGCAGCCCTCAGCCTGGGTCTCCTCTCCCTGGTGCTTCTGCTGGCACAAATCATCCTTGTCAGCTTGGGCTTCCACTGTGAGTACCTACCTGCCTGTGCTTGGATCTCTATGTCTCGGATCTTGCAGTTGGGGCTGGCACCACAGGGCCAACAGACAGAGCTGCAGCTTCCCCAAGGAGCTGGGCCCTCCCACTTGGGGCTGAGTGCATTGAGGGTTCTGGGGCAAGCGAGAAAATTGGTTAGGCAAGACATCGCCTACTTGGCTGGAAAAAAAAGTTGGTGGGACAGCGTGGGCTTGGGGAAGGCCATCACATGGCATTGAAAAGAAAGCAGGAAGGAGAGAGGTGACACTGAAACTGAAAGGCAGCAGCACTTTCCCCGAAAGTCTGTGTTGTGTTGGGCTCCCAAGCACAGCAAAAGCCGCAAGGCCCTTGGCTGGCTTGGCGTACCCAAAGCAGGAGATGCCCTCACCCACAGCTGTGGAGTCGCCCTGTGGGAGAGGACACTGTGTGCTGCTGGGAGCAGGAGCCCAGAATTGCTGGGACACCCCTGTGCTCTTCTTCTGTAGATTTAGTACAACAACAGATGAGCTGCACCCATGATCTCTGGAGCATGGAGAAGAGCCCCAGCTATGGGCAACAGACACTGCGAGGTAAGAGAGCCTGGTGAGCTCCTGGACAAAGTTTGGAGAGGGCCTAGCTGCTCCTTTCAAGCAGCAGGATCTGTCCATGCTCCAGGGCATTCCCCCCACCCCAAATATTCCTTCACCCTTGCTGCCTGTCCCCTGGCTCATGGCATAGAAAGCTGCCCCAGCACTGCTGAACAAGCTGAATGTTGGGACCTTTGGAAGAGATGATCCCAGCATGGTTCAGCATTGCCTGGACATGCCACCAGCACGAGGCTCATGGATGCCACCAGCATCTGTTTTCCAGATGGCATCAGGTGCTCTCTTTGACCATCTCTGGTCCAACTGAAATCTTGACTGAGTTCCCAGCACTTGGGAAATCGTGTTTGTATTGCTTCTGCAAAACTGGAGCTCTCCTCCCTGCCCAGTGCCAGCACCTTCCTGTAACTCCTTCTCCCCACGGAGCTCCTTCTCATAAGGGCCTCCCTCTGGGGAGGTGGGGCTGGAAGATGGGAGCTGAGCTCCTGAATAACAGCAAGTGGAGGGTGGTCTCCGTGGGGCAGCCCTAGGAGCACAGTGGGTGGGTTGGTACCCAGTGGCTGCCCATTGTCACTGTCCTGCCCCTTGGGCTGGGGGCTTGGGGCAGCCCCTGCCAGTTGCCCAGTCCCAGCTGCTGTGTTTCTGGTGTGCAGCGCAATGCCAGTTTTGCCCAGTCGGCTGGCTCTGGGATGCAGGGCAGTGCTACTACTTCTCATCTGCCAAAAAGACCTGGGAGAAAAGCAGGGAGGACTGCTGCTCCAGGGGGGCACAGCTGGTCACCATCCAAGACAACACTACCCTGGTGAGTGCACCCAGCCTGCCCTGTCCAGCTCCCTGCAAGCATCGGGCTGTGCTGGTGACCACCCCAAGGTCCCTCAGCAGCCACCTACCCATCAGCAGCATTGTCTCAGCTCCTTGGCTCTGGCCTATGTGCCCAAATCCTGGCTGAGCCTCCAGGCAGGGAGCTGGCAATGCTGTGCCCATGCTGCACAGCCCCCATCACTAATCGTGGGTGGGGCTGTGTGTCCCCCCAGGGAGCTCACGTGGATCCTCTCCTGTATTAGGCTTTCCTGATGCGCACCACCACCAACATGGAGGTCTTCCACGTGGGGCTGAAGAAGGATGGCTTTGCATCTGACTGGAAGTGGCTGGATGGCACCACATTGAAGGGGTAGGGCTGTCAGCTTGTCCCCAGCCAGGGCTGCTGAGGGTCCAGCAGCAGGGATCAGGGAGGTGACAGGGGGACACTGGCATGGAGGGATGTGCTCCATATTTTGGCCACCTCCTGTCTCCCCAGGGCTGCACTGGGGCATTTTAGGGAAGAGAAGATAGGGAAGAGAGGCCTGACCCTGGTGCCCATACTCTGCCTGGGTGAGGGACTGGAGGGTTCCCCCAAAAGCAGGTTCCCAGATTTTGGTTGGTGCAGTTGGTGCTGAGCCCTGCCAGGGGGGACCTGAGGGTCCCATGTGCCTGATGGGGCTGGGGGCATCAGAAAATGTGGCTTAATTGGGAGGAGGCAGGAGACTGTGCTCCGTAGGGGGGGTGAGCTTTGCCCCGCATCATCCCTGTGCTTTTTCTGGTCCCTGGCTGGAGGATTTACTGATGGGACAATCTCAGTTCTTCCTGCCTATCTCATCTCAGTGCACTCTCTCCCTGCAGGATCTTCCTAATCCATCGCTACACCAGGTCTTACCAGGCCTGTGGCAGGCTGTCAGGCTTGGGGCTGTCAGGTGGTCTGTGCTCAGAACCCCTTGGATGGGTCTGCAAGCAGAGTGCAGCCACCCTGCAGTGGCTCCAGTCCTCACCTCCTTCCTTCATCTGGGGAAACACCACCTACAGCTGTGTGAGGCCCTGATGGCTGTGGGAACCTCCAGCCTGTCCCATCACCATGTTCCCTGCCTGACTCCAGTTCATGGGCATTCGCAGGCACTGACTGCTGCCTCCTGGCCCAGACATCTTTATTTCCCTGTAACTGCATTTTGCCAGTAAACTCTGCCAAAAACTGTGTCTGCCTTTGGGGAATGACAGGGGTGTGATAGAGGTGCATCCTCCAGCTCACTGACTCGGTTGCATCAATGAAAAGTGGGAAATTGCCTCTGCTGCACCGTTCCAGGAGCCAGCTTTCAGGCAGCAGCAATCCAAGCATCCTCGTGGCCTGATGGCAGCATGAGGCAGCTCCTGTGCAGGCTGGAGCAGGTCTCCTGAAAGCTTTCTGATTGTGGTGGCTGCCTGGTGTTTATGCTTCTTGGAACACATAGCTGAGAGGTGACCCTTTGCTTCCTCATCCCATGGAGGACTTGGGCTGGGCAGCAGCTTGTCTGCTGGTGCCCGCCCAGTCTGAGGAGGTTCCAGCAAGTGACCTCACTTTGCTTTGAGTCTGGGTGATGTGTGAGAGCCTGAAAGGTCTGGTGAGGCTTGAGTTGAAGGTGTTTGGTTCCGGCAGCTGTTTCAATATAGACCTCCTGGTTCCAGCAGCCTGGAGCTCTGGCACGAACATCCCTGGGATTCTCCCTGGCATATTCAGAGGACCGATATTCTGTGTCCTGAGCAGGGGCTGGGAGGGAAAAGGTGATACATGGGGCAGTGTAGCCCTGCTGTGACCAGTACACAGGAGCTTGGGCTCCTCACAGCCTGGGGCACAGATGTAGAGCATGCAGCCCAGAGTGGAGCTCATTCACCCCCTACCCTCCAAAGTCAGAGCATCCTCCGAAATAAAACCACTTTTTGCAAATAAAGCAACTACTTCTGCTTTTCTGCATATGAAGAAGTGTCTCCATCCCACATGGTCTTAGCCACAGTCTGCTATATGACCACAGTGGAGCAGAACAGGACTGGGGTCCTGGACTGTAGCTGCCCAGCTGCCTGCATGGCCCAGAGTGTGGTCTATGCTGATTTGAAGTTTGATGAGCCCCTGCTCACTTCCCCTACCTGCCCTGAGATTCCCGGGCACCAAGAGAGTGCTGGGCTTGGGACAGGTGTCTCTCCTCTGGACTTGCTCCAACAGGTCCATGTCCTTCCTGTGCTGGGAACCCCAGAGCTGGATGCAGTGCTCCAGGTGGGGTCTTACCAGAGCAGAGCTGAGAGGCAGAATTCTCTCTCTCACCTGCTGCCCACCCTGCTTTGGATGCAGCCCAGGACAGGATTGGTTTCTGGGCTGTGAGTGCACATGGCTGGGTCATGTCCAGCCTCTCACCCACCAGCACCCCCAAGTCCTTCTCAGCAGGGCTGCTCTTGATCTGTTCATCCCCAGCCTGTGTTGGTACCCGGGGTTGTCCTGACCCAAGTGCGGCACCTTGCACTTGGTCTTGTTAAACCTCATGATGTTACCGTGGGCCCACTCCTCAACCTTGTCCAGGTCCCTCTGGATGGCATCAGGTGCCTCAGATGTATCAACCACAGCTCTCAGCTGGGTGTCATCTGCAAGCTTGCTGAGGGTGCACTAGATCCCCCTGTTCACATCGCTGATGAAAGCATTAAGTAGCATTGGTACCAATATGGATCCCCAAGGGACACCACTGGTCACCAATGTCCACATCAGGACACAGAGCCATTGACCACTATCTTCTGGATGTGACTGTCCTGCCAATTCCTTATCCACCAAACAGTCCACCCATTGAATCCATTTGTCTCCAATTTAGACTGTATCAAAAGCTTTACAGAAGTTGAGATAGAAGACATTTGTAGCCCTTCCCTTGTTCACTAATGCAATCACTCCATTGTAGAAGGCCACTAGGTTGGTTAGGCAGGACTTTACCTTGATGAAAACATGCTGGCTGTCTCAAACCCAGCTTAGCAAAATGATTCCCAACACCTCGTACTCTCTGCAGAAACACTTCAGTCAGGAGGGTCAGTGCTGCACCTGGACTCCCCCTCCCCACCCCACCTGGGTCCTGGACAGGGCTCTCTTATCACCCTGCTTGGCAGCTCAAGTTCTACCATGGTCTTAGGGACCTTCCCACCATGGTGCCAGGGTCCCCTTTTTCTAGTGTTCCCAAGTCTCCTCAGTACTTCCCTCTCTCTTCCACTGTCTTAAGGCTCATAGCTGCAACCCCATTTCCTCGGGGCCTCTCCCATTTGCCTTCCATGATCTCAGGCATCTTCACTGAAACTCCATTTCCTCCCATGGTCTCAGGGTTACTGCATTCACCCCCAATGGTCTCAGGGCTCCTCATTGCACCTTTTTTTCTACCATGGTTTCAGGGTTTCCTTATTCAACTTCAATGTTCTCAAGGCTCCCCAGAGCTTCCCCATCTCCCATATGGTCTCAGGGCTTCCCAGCATTTTCTCATGCTGATGGCACCACTGCCTGCGCTCTTCCCAGGCAAGACCCAGCCCAAAGCCCTGGGCAGGTGATGGAGGCAGGAAAAAGGGCAGGATGAGAGCTATTAGTGCCAAGAGAAGAGACAGGCTGTAAAATCCACAGAAGTCCCCAAAATTGACAGACTGAGGGATACCAATATGTCATCCCACAGCTCCAAGAAAATGCAAATGGCAGATCCTGCACAGTTCTCTTTTGGCAGCCTTGGGGGAGCACAGAAGGTGGGAGCTGGGCTTTGCACTGGAGACCTGGGTCACTGCAGGGTGTGCTGGCCAGGGCACACAGGAACACACAGAGACACAGCGCAAGGTGGTGTGATAAGTGTATGCATGAGTGTAAGAGAGCGAAATAAGGTCTCTTTTCTAGCCTTTAAAATACAGACCCTCTTTCCCAGTGCTTTGTAACGCAGTTGAGGCAATGCGTGTACAGGGGACAGAGTCTTGGGGTGCACCCCCAGCTCCTGTCCCCAAGTCCAGAGATGGAGTAGAGTGTCAGCAGTCAGACCTTGGCCAGGAGAGGAGGTTGTGCCTCAGATGTGCTGCTCAACTTCGGGGATTTCTCGCAGATCCACTGAAAGTAATACCAGCATGATGCAGGCCTGATTTTCCCATTATCTATTGCCTTGCAGATTGTATTCCTAGGAAAGAGGGCACATCTCAGAGTAGCAGTGACAACATCCTTGTTATGGACACCACTTCCCATAGCTCTCAGTGCTGCTGGGGCAGGCAGGGTGCCTGGCACTGGGACCAGTCTGAGGAAGGGTTGCATTCCTCCTTCCGGTTTTCTGCTCTGCCACTTGGAAATCTGGCAGTACACTCCACAGCTGAGCTCTACCCTGACTCCCTTCCCTTGGGGGACCATCACCCCCTTTGCTGGGGGATGTAACAGGGTCAAACCAGCACCTTTCTGGGGTGGGAAAAGGGCAGGTGCTTGTGCCCAGCACTCTCATACTTACCAGGTTTGACTGCTGTCCTGCCATTTAGAAATCGCCTTTGTGTCATAATAAATGCTTGGTCCAATCCAGTACTTTTCAGTAGACTCCTGCACAAAATGCTGGAAGAAGAGAAGCTGTCAGCCACCTGCTTCATGACTAGCACTTGCCTGGTGCCCAGGAGCGCCAGGGTTGGCTGTGCTCCTCCTCCCAGACTTCTGGAATGGAAACCTGGGGCTCATGGTGCTACCCCAGCACCTCCACAGATACTGCTGCCACTACCCCGCTGGGACTCTGCCCAGTCCCACCCTCCTAGGGTACCACAATACCCCTGCTCTGTACCGGTACTGTCAATGATAGCAAGCTATCTTGGATGAGCAGTTCAGCGGATTTCGCTTTGCAGTCATCCTTGCTGCTCTGCCAGGTCTTCTTCTGCACAGAGATGAAGAGACACTTGCTCCTGTAGAGCACCCAGCCCGAGGGGCAGCAGTCTGGGGACAGGGGCATAGGTCAGACACTTATCCTCCCACAGATGCTCGAGGGGCCCAGCCCGGCCGAGATCAACCCCTGCGTCTGCCCAAGAGCAACACTGCCTGTGCCCCCACCCCATCACAACTCTACCTGTATTCACACAGGCACGCAGGCTGCTCACAGTGCTCTCGCTGTTGTTGAGCTTCCCCTGCACCTCCTGCATCTCCTTCTCCGTCTTGCCCAGGACCTCCCTGACGTGCCCCAGCTCGGCGCTCATTCTATCCAGCTCCAGCTGGCTGATGTTGCCCTCTTGCCACGCTCGCTGCAGCTCCTCTCTGGCCCACGCCAGCTCCAGCTCTGCCTGCTCCAGGCTCTGCTCCTGAGTGCTCAGCTCCTGTGACAGGCGGTCCTGCTCGGCTGCATAGTTGTGGGAGGTGTCCTGCAGGCTGCGGGTGACCTGCCAGTCTGGGGGCAGGGCAGTGAGCTGACACATGGGCATGGGACAGCTGGGCCATGGGACTTGCAAGGGAGAATGGGATAGGAGTGCCTGGCTGTGCGTAGAGATTGTCCTGGGGGTTTCAATGAGAAGGGAAAGGAAGCCCCAATGGTGGCAGGTGGAGGGGAGCCAATGGCAGGCAGTAGGAGGCAGTGGGAGACAGTGGGAAGGCAAGGGGAGGCAATGAGAAGGCTAGTGGGAGGTAGTGGAAGGCATTGGAAAGACAATAGGAAGTGGTGGGAAGGCAATAGGAAGGCAGTGAGAGGGAGTGGGAGGCAGTGGGAGGGAGTAGGAGGCAGTGTGAAGGCAGTGAGAGGCTGTGGGAGGCAATAAGAAGGTAAAGAGAGTGAGTGAGAGACAACAGGAAGGCAGCAGGAGGCAGTGGGAATGCAATGGGAGGCAGTGGAAAGGCAGTAGGAAGGCAGTGGGAAGACAGTGGGAGGCAATGGGAAGCAGTAACAGGGAGTGGGAGGCAGTGGGAGGGAGTGAGAAGCTGTGGGAGGCAATGGCAGGCAATGGGAAGTAGTGGGAAGACAGTGGGAGGCAATGGGAAGCAGTGACGGAGTGGGAGGCAGTGGGAGGGATTGGGGGCTAGTGGTAAGACAGGGGCAAGACAATGGGAGACAGTGGGAAGGCAGTGGGAGGCAATGGGAGGGAGTGGGAGGGAGTGGGAAGATAGTGGGAGGCAGCTCATGTAGCCGTGAAAGAGGACGCAACCAGCCCTGGACCCCCAGCCTCAGGCACCCCTCATCCCTGACAAACCCCCTGCAGCTCGTCCCTGGC